CCTTCCGCGTTCCCTCCTGACCTGCCGCTGCGCTCTTCCCGCAGCCCTGGGGAACGAGGGGGGAGCCGCTGGGAGCTGTCAGTGTGAGAGATACAGCGTGGAGCCCCCGCTGGTCAAGCGGTTCCCGGACCGACTGGTGGCCTGGGAGCCCTGCCTGGGCTTGGTCAGGTGAGCACCCATCCTGCAATAGCCCTCCTTTTGTTGCTGGGCGGCGTCAAGCCTGGCGGTGGCTGCCCTGCCGCCCACCCGCCCACTTCTGTCCTTCTCTCTGGCAGGTTTACCTTCCCGCAGAAGCGGGTGTGCGGCTTGGCTGACGCCCCCTGGGTCCTCAGGTTCACCTCTTTGAAGAGGGACCAACGTGAGTCTGCCCCAAAGGGAGGGCTGCAGGGATGGAGAGGGAAGGGGGAGGGGCTTGGAGGCCCCCCACTTTTGGGCAAAGTGCTTCAGAGACTCCTGAGATGGGCCTCCGTTGCCCAGCTGGCACTGTGTTTCTTTCTCAAAAGGAAAGGGTGCTGCAGGGCCCAGCACCTCCAAGAGATGTTGCCAGCCCAGCACCACCAGCTGTGCCCCACTTCTACTGCCTCTGAGCTCCACGGGCCCAGCCCTAGAGGTGCAGAGGGAGACCCCCCAATCAGAGCAGGTGCCGTCCTTCACTACCACAACTGCTGCCCCAGCCCTTGAGATGGCGAGGGGCATCACCGCGCTGCCCTGGAATGGTGAGTCTGGGGGCAGAAGGGGGCAGGTCCCTTTGGGAGGGGGATTATGGAAAGGGCACTAATTCTGGGGGCTGGTCTGATTGCAGGTGCCATTGCTGCGGCCAGCCCCAGCCATGTTCCACAGGAGGGTCTGCCAGTGGGGCCCAGCCAGACTACTGTCCTCTCTGCGCTTGGGGTCGTCCTTTTCCTTGTGGCCGGGACTGTTGGCCTGGCGTGCTGGAGGAAGCCCCTGGGGAAACCCCGGGCAGCCCTGGTCTCTGCGCATCAGGTGGGAAGCCCTGCCTCACTCCTGCCAGGTCCATCTTCTTCTCTGCTGTTTGTCATTAGCCATTTGGGATACTCGAATAGAAAAAGATGCCTTGTGGGGTTCTGGCAAGAATTTAAAAGATCTGAAACAAAAGGTGCCCCGGAGCTTCTCTATCCACCTTCTCTGGACCCCTCTTCTCCGGGGTCCGCAGGCTGTCTCTGCCTTCCCTGCCCCACACCCTCATTCCGCCTGTCGCCCGCTTGGCGCTCAGAGCTGGGCAGAGGGCTGGATCAAGAACGCGCGGGTTGTCTCTCCCACAGAGAAGCTCCCTGGGATCGCTTGTTTCAGATCTTTTATATTCTTGCCAGTTGCTGGCTGTGTTACACAACCTTGATTTACACACCTCCCTCCCTTTAAGTTTTTATTTCTCCAGCCGGTCTATTCTGTTAAAGCTTCGAACCTACGGGGCTGGGTGTGCTCCTAACCCCCTTAGTGCCTCAGGGGTCCGTCTGTCCTTCCTAAAACCCCATATTCTTCTTCACCTGAGCTGTGCAACAGTAGCTCCTTTGAGACGCACAGCTGAGCACCTGCTCACAGGAGAGAGAGAGGAGCGACTAGTCCGAACTTCAAGGGGAAATTGCCTAACGGAAGTGAAACAGAGATCCAGCAGGCAGGCGTTTGGGGAAAACCTCTTGGCAAGAGGGAAGAGGAAATTTCCAGATTTCCAAGTTCCCCCAAACCCTCCATCTTCCTCCCTGGGCAAGCCCCATTGCCAGTTTCCACTGCTTTCTAGCCCCCTTCTTGTCCCCCCCCCCCATCGTTCTTAACACTTCCTACAGCTGTTTTGGAGCTAATCTTAATTTTTTCTTTCAGGTGTGGATGTTGAAACCTGGAGCAGAACCCGCTTCTAGGGCAGAGCAAATGCAGCAGCTGTAAGAGGCTGTGGGGGACTGGGGTGGAGGGAAGCGCGGATGTGAAGGTTCAGCCTCGTCCTGCACGTGGACTCAGGGATGTCTCAACACCGATGAGCTCTGGTGCTTCTCTGCAACTGTGGCTACGTTTTTTGGGTCTTGCCCTATTCTTATGGACCTTTGACTTTTCCTTTTGTACAAGATAGATACATTTTTGTAGAAAAAGCAGCTTCCACTGGTGAACTTTCTGTCTAATAGCACAGCCATAACCGAGTGGAAGCAGCTCCTTGAATTCTGAAGCAACAGCGTCACGAGGGGCAGACCAGTTCCTGCCCTCTAAGATAATAGCAGCCAAGCTCGACTTTCGGTTCTCCAAAGATGGAGGTGTGGAATCATACAGAGGACCCAAAAGCAAGACGATCAAGGCGTCACTGCAGTGTTTATTAGTCAGTACGCACTGGAGGGGAACCACAGCGAGAGACTGTGAGGGAGTCAAGGAGCTGCAGATGGCAGGAACACTTCTCACCCCACGTCCCTAACTCAAACTTTGCTCACAAGCACCCAAGCCGGCATTCCAGCTGCCTGTGATAAGCGAGCCGCACCCTGGTGCTTTCAAGGACCTGCCGACATCCAGAGGCAGCCCCCCCCCACTTAGCTTAGAAAAGCAAACATGAAGACCGAGTAGAGGAGGAGGTGTGTGCGTAAGAGGAAAGGTGACAAGCAAGCGGCCTGCAGGCTGTGAAGATGTCTGGAGATTGGCGGCTTATTACGAGCGGGGACGATCGTTCCATGGCCAGGACCGCCGGCTGTGGGGAGCAGCCTGCCCTGGTGGGGGTCCTGCCTGGGTCTTTGCTGGGAGCTCAGCAGCAGTTAGAAGAGGAACTGCCACGCCGAGGCAGCACCTCACCTCGGCCAGTGCAAGAATATTTGGAAAAAGGCAAAGGTGGTATGGCACTTTACAGACTTTATATATGTATATAGACTTTATACGCTTTATAGACTTTTGCTTGAACTAAGCATTAAAGGACTGAGTACAGTGGAACCTCGGTTTACGAACTTAATTCGTTCCGTGACTCTGGTCGCACCCCGAA